AGCGCGGGTTGTGCAGGGGCTGCCTGATCTGGGAGAAAGAAAGCTCACGAAGGCAAACGAGTTGGTTGCATCGAGTTTGCCATGAAGTCAATGAGTTGACGAGCCGTGCATGATGGTTCCAGGGTTGGAAGCTTGGAGGTTGCAAAGGTGCAGTCCATAAGAAGGGCTGGCAACTATGCAGGTGCAGAGCTGCTCCGGTGTGGGTTTCTTCTTTCAGGGCTGAAGGTTGAAGGGTTTCCGTGTTCGGATATGATATGTGCAGGGTTCTCAGGGGTCCTGGCTTGCAGCTGTGGAGGTTCCGAGAATTTGTGCGGTACGTCGCGAGAATACCGCCTTTGACGGCATACAGTAGGTGCCTATGAGTCCGGATGTCGTGACGTGGATAGGTGGATAGGTGCCTACCAAAATATGCGTGGGTCGTGTTGTATATATATATATATATATATATATATTCATGTATGTATGTATGTATGTATGTATACATATATATGTTACTGTTGCAATCATCGGGAGGGTATACTATGGTATACCATATACAAGAATCGAGAGATGCAAGAAGCTCCCTTAAACATTGCACGTTCACAGGGGTCTACACAAACGGGGACCCGGCAGCGAGCAGGAAGCTTAAGGCCGCATCTACAAGCCACCGAGGTGAAGGTGGAAATCTGTCGACGCCTGTGATAGGGGCTGCGTGGTGGACCTATCTTCGCAATATGGAGTGAGCCACCTGAGACCTGCTCACATTATTACACAGCGTCGGGGTTCTTGGCGGAACGCATAGCCGGCACATGGTTTTTTGAAAGCTAACTACTCGCATAAACCCACCATTACAGTACAGACTCGCTAAATGTGCCTCGGTGAGGAATTCATGCCGTCATGGACGCGTACGAAGCGGTTTCGTTTTGCATGGCGACATAAAGGGCAAGGAGTGTTTCGCAGTCGAATCTTTCTCTTGACGGGCCTCCACCTGCTGTCCGCTTCTCTGTTCCTCCTTCCTGTATTGTTTTCCAACCGAAAACAATCAGGCAGCGCGAAATCCCTGCCCACATGCGGCCCCTCAACCCGAAAAATCCCTGTCGGCTTGTGACTTCATTTCCGGCAGCTCCTCGTTTGCTTGCTTGCTTCAGGTGTTATCGTAAGCGTCCGCCTCCTTAGAGGGTTCATGCCGGCAGCTCCTGGCGCTTTGGCTCTCTCGCTGTCTGCATGGAACTGGGAGGGATCCCAGAGTTGAAGTGCGGTGCGTGACAGAAAATCACAACAATGCTCGAATGGACTGTGGCCTAACTCAGGCCTCAGCTGGGCGATTGTCTGATGAGCATTTGCTACCTGCTTCGTCATTAACATCTGGAAATCTGCAAACACAGCTGAGAGAATAGAAACTGCAGCGTGGGAGTCGCGCTTCATGGCTGTACATCATATCCTGGGACAGCAAAACGTCGCGCAGCAAAAACGTATATGAGTTTTGAGGAAGCTGGGAGACCTGCAGTTGCCAGTGTGTCAACTTCTTGATCCCACACCTGGCCAGCAATGCGACCATACTTGCAGTGCTCAGAGCGGCACTGCCTTTCTGTATGGCCGCCCTTGCACTGGGCTTGCTTCCACGCAGGTAGCAAGTTTTGCGCAACCATCAGTGCCCAAAACTCAAATCGGAAGCCAATACAGCCACTCTCCAGCCACTAAGCTTCACTAAGCTACGTACGTCTTAGGCGGGTGAGGCCGACCCGTGCCAGTAGAGACAGCAGAGACAGAGAGAGAGAGAGACAATGTGTGTGTGTGTGTGTGTTGTCCGTAGTTCTGATGCATTAGCCGGGCCGGTCTGGTTCATCCGCTTCGAACGTGCGCGCAGCAGTGAACAATGAGCCTTGCTTGATGCCACATATCATTTCCTCCATTTGGGTCTCACGGGTTAATCATGTGATCCGAAGACGCCTGAAAACACCATGGGAATAATCGTGGGCTCGTGATGCGTCCGTCTGGGGTTACACAAGCAAGGCGAAGGACACCACACAGCGGAATGCAAGCCTATCACCTTGGCATGGCTTCAAAGGGGTGGGAAAACGCTGGACCTGGCCCCCGTTATGCCACGTTTTTCGCTCTCGCCATTCGATCTCCCTTTTCACTTTAGTTTGCAGTCGCGTCCTTGTCCTTCTTTGTCGTGTCTGTCGCTATTCTTCCTCACTGTCTCTGCTCTTTGTGTCCCTGCCTTCGTTCCCTGCCAAGCCTCACCTCCGAATTCTCATATCCTCTCTCATCTCGCCCGGAGCAATGTAATTCTTCAATTAGGGCACGGCAACACCAGGTCAATTTTATCGATCCCGGACCACAAGGCCAAATCACGGGCCTGCCTGGCAGTGGAGGCTACAGGCCAATGGAAGGGCTCGTAAGCCCACGACACGGTGTGGGCACCAAGTGTGCGTGGAAGAGATGCTGCATGGAACGGGCAGCATGTCGGAGATTGTAGAGGCATGCAGTTTCAGGCATCGGCTTCTCAAGATGGCATCGTTCTTGTCATTGCAAGGTGGGACAAATGGATGATGGCGTAGGGGCATGTGACTGACACATGCCGACACAACCTCTCCAGCAAACAGTCGCAAGTCACACCACTCTCATCCACTCTCAATAGCAGCAACAGCTTCTCGCACACAACCTTGATCTTCTGGATGCGACCATGAAAACTATGATGCAGGCCATAGCTCCTCGGCACCAAGCAAAGCTCGAGCACTTCGAGACATCGTCGTTCAATTCAGGTGCGTGCGGAGCACACTGTCCCACGTACAAGTGACGTTTCGGAGAGGACCTCGGTCTGCAAGGGCCTAAACAGAGCACCAATGGACAGTCTGATGAACTCGCAGACTCGAATGTCGATCCGTCCTAAAGGTTGTCCCTCCTCCTTTTCTCGACACAAGAACACGAGACAGGGCCTCATTCTCCCGACACGTCATCGTTGTTATTGTTGCATGGCTGCCCGCATGTTGCCAATATTTAGAGCAGGAAATACAGACAATGACAGACACTACGAACATGTACGAAAATATTCTGTCTTTGACTGGGGACAGCTGAGGTGGGCATTCTCACGCACCGCAAGGCCCTTTAACAAATCCAAAACCGAGCTCATCACGCTGGTGGGGGCCCATATGATCTTGCGATGAGCTGCCCATCCTTTGGCCGACGGTGCTGTCAGAGGCGTCTGGTGACATAGCATGGAAGCCATATTCCACGCCTTGTAAATGTTGTACATCCTCAGAGGATCATTCCGAGACGCAGCGAAATACACAATGCAGCCGTCAGACATAGGGCCCGAACCCGACAGCACTGATCGTGAACAGGAAGGTGTGCGCCTGCATTTGTGGTGGGCGGGCTGAACGCAGGTCCACAACACAAATTGGTGGCATCTTTTGCCCCGAGGGAAACTGAAAATATGTGATGTCTTGGTTACTCAGAGGCGGCGAGAACAAACTGGGAGCTCTTCCCTACCCTTCCCTCGCTTTCGAACCGATACACCATTGATAGCGTTGCACCCTATTCGAGCCACTGCGTAGCTAAGCTGGCCATGTCGACTTTCGCGTTTCGGTCACGTGAAATGTGTGCTGTGCTCGATCTTACGGTTTCTCCTACTGGTATGCCTTTGTTCCAACATACTGTATGTTTTTTTGCGAGTTTTGCGCCAAGCAAGTCTGCCAAAGCCCGCTTTGCAAACCAACGCCCTCCGGATGGCTTGGCTTGCATGCACCTTGAACGTCAAACCTGCTTGTATCTTTTGTTCACACAATCTGGAAAGTCGGATAGCCTGATCTCCGGGCTGCCAGCAGTCGTCGACAGGAAGACCTTCCGTCCAGGACAAGTGCTGGGCAGGTAACTGGGGTGCAGCGGAATTGGTGTTGGACGATGCGTTTGGTCACCAATGATGCATCCAAAGGTCAAATGGCCAATCCTCGGGAATGGTCGTGTCCGAACTTAAAGAATGTGTGAAGTGCCTCTGGAATGTGGCACAAAGAGCCGCACTTATCCGGACCGCCAACTTCCGCAAAGATGACATCTGGGCACAGTGGAAGCTGCGGAAGCTAAGCCTGTGCGCGGTTGGGCCGCCTCGCCGAGCATCATCCGCGAAGTCGAAGAGGAAACTGCCAGAGCTGGCAGGAGCAGGCCTGTTCATCGAGATCCGTTCGCTCACAGCCGCCGTGCCTAGCAACTTACGGCCTGTTGAACTGCAACACCGCGCTGAAAGCAAAGTCCGGACCTGCGCATACCAAACGGGTAATTTTGAACAAACCGGGCATTTTTAATTGTATTTGCAGTTGTGCGTGCTTCACGCGCGCCTAGGTCTCCGCAAAACCCCGTCTGGCGCAAATTGATGCCACCACCTTCTCTCATCCTGAAAACTAATGAATTCAAAGTGATTTTGTTTCTGCTGTCTTTATGGTGTAAAAAAGACAAATTCTTTGCGCAAAATCGTCCTCGGGAACTCTGCGCCTTCGCATGTCATAACCTCGGCAGGTTTTGCCGATGAGCACATGCACTCTTGATGCCCTACCAGTTGCATCGCAAGCTAGGATGCCAACGGGCCTCGCTGTACGCAGCTCAACAAAAACTGCGCGTCCTGAGCCGTGCTCAGTGGCATGTTTCTTGCAAGAAACACCAGCCCCCCTCAGGTCACCACGTGGGAGCATTTTTTGGCGACGCCTCAGACACTCTGTGTTGATTCAGCCTGGTTCTCAATTGGCAAAAACGCCTAACTACTGCCTGCCAGCAAAGCGATTGCCGTACTGAGTCCCCAACATCTGCTCCAAGATTATCCAATCTTGACCTAGCAGCCCGCCTCAATGCCAGATTGCCTTTTGTTTCTGTCTTGTGACCAAACAGCAGGAGCAGCTTGATGCCCTTAGGCTTGGACACCCTATGGATGCGTAGGTCTGCAGTTGGCCTGCCGCAATCGCAAGGTGGCATGGTGCAACGGTCCCCACAATGGAGCCTGCCGGGAAATGTTCGCGACATTTGTCCATGATGCATTTCTCGACTGCCTCGCGGCACCAAGACCATTTTAGGTAACACAACGTGCATGATCGGACCTCTCGAACCTCTGGGTGCTTGGGTCCTTGGTGGCCGGAACGCTGATGGAAAGCTTTAAGTGCACACTTGACGTTTCTCTCGCTCCTTATTACGCCTGCGACAGTGCGAGTCGCCTCCTCGCGAATCTACAGTGGGAGGGGGGGGCGCTACGGTGCTGCTAGCTGCTACGAATAGCTACCGCCCCGGCGCCTATCCCTGGCGAAGGGCACATCTCACGTGAACGGTTGTCGCAAGCTTGTCCTTGTGGCAAACAGTCCGTCGAACTGTTTTACTATGAGTACAAAACTTGTGGTCCCTGGAAACAGTCTCTTGGGAAAACGAATGCTTGCCTTCTTATGTCCTGCTTTGCGCGAACTGCAGGGTGCTGTATGTTTGGGTTTGTGCTTTGCAACAATGGCGAATGTTTCGGAATGCGTTTTGGATCCTCTTGGCTCGCAAGACCTGTGCTGAGACGTTGGCAAAGCTTTGGCAAAGAATGCAGAACACATTCGGTGATGCATGTCAAAGAAAAGTCGTCCCCGAGGCATGCTGCAAACATTTGTTTCGTACTGTAGTTCCCGTATGTTAGCTTGACGGCTGGACCCCGGTGTGGTTTCGCAATAAGGAGCGGGACAAATAAACGGTGATATCGATGGACTGACAGTGCGACAAAACCTAGAGTTTTCAAATTTCGGTTCAAAGCCTACAAATGGGGCCTGGGTTTTTGCAGACCCACCTTCTGTGTCATGATAAATGACGTTCTAACGTAGTTCTTCAACAGCCTCACAGCTTCGGCGGTGCGAGAGGGTTTACTTCAAAGGTACATGCAGCGTTACACCACAAAGTACTAAAACAAAACATGTTTTTCCTGAGTAGTGTAAGGGTGGACACCTGCAGCCTTGCTGGTGCCGCCCGGGACAGGACCATCATCCCCTTAAACATCCCCCACATCCGGTCATTATTATTACTAGTGTTATAGGGTCAGGTACTGTACTGGAAGCTCTGGAATCCTGGACCCTGGGTCCCGAGGCAGGGTTTGAAATCCGGGGTTCAAGATGTTAGACCCTCCCTCCCAGCCCGGCGGATGCCAGACCCACACGAGAATCGTTTGACAGAAACTTGTTTTAAGCGCATGGCCACCGCTTCGCACTATTCTCGGTTTGGCGGGTCGCGAAATTGAATTACAGGTCCACGCGACCAAACTTGGTCAAGCCTATGACCACCGCTTCGCGCTATTCTCGGTTTGGCGGGTCGCGAAATACAGGTCTGTGAGTTTTATGTCCTGCGGTGCCTGCTCGTGAGAATCGCTTGACCAAAGCTACCTCCAGAAACGCAGACACCCAGAAATCCTAGACTCCGGACCACATGCCTCGCCTGGATTGTCCGAGTGTGAGCGCCGAAGTCTAAACACTGGATTCCCGAGTGTGAGCAACGAAACCTAAACACGTTTAAACCCGAAACGCAAAATCCCCGAAACCCAGGAATCCTAGACACCGGAAACCCAAAGAAACGCACAGAAACGCAGAAACCCGGAAGCTAAAAACACTTAAATCCAAAATCGCGCGAAACGCAAAAGCCATGGACCTTTAACCCCAGCCAAGAAGCGTCACCCAACCGAAAAACGCAGAAACATACCCCTTGGATATGATGGTGATTCGGTGGAGCCTCATTTTATAGACGCGGTGGTTTATAGAATGGCCCTCCAGTGTATACCCAACGCAAACACGGCGCAAAACAGGGTCTGTAAAATGACCCACTCAGGTTGTAGGAACAACAACGAAAAACAGTGTGCGTCATGGATGTCTTGGGTATATTCACTATGGAATGACCCGCCTGGGTCACCCGGAATGATTTGAGTTTCCCGATGGCATCATGCTGATGGATACCATGCAGATTTGCCAAAACAGGAGCATACTATAAAATGGCCTGCGAGGGTACCTTTGAAAAAAAATAAAACTATGCAAGAATTGTGTTGCCAAGGCGGGTTCGCTATAGAATGGGGGCCGGGGGTGCGCACGTAGAGTTTCTCGATCCTGAGTTCACATTTTTGGTTATTTTTTATATCGTTTTTTAGGTTTATCTTCTCTTGTTTGTATTGTTTGGCTTCTTTTGTTCATGTTTTTTTTATTATCTTTTTCCTTATCAGTTTTTCCTTTGTGTTTGTACTTTATTTCGTTTACAAATCCCTTTCTTCTGTTATTTTTCGTTCGTTTCTTTAATAAGTCTTATCTGCCCCCGGCCCGCGGCGCGGGGGCAGAGGGCAGGATTGCAGGTTTTTGGGTTTGGGGCTTCAATCCTTAAGGGACTTAAGAGTTTAGGGGCCTATAGGGTTCAAGTATCTGGGCGGGTTGAAGATGTTGAAGGGTTGAGGCGGTCAAGGGCTTTGACTCTAAAGTTTCTGCGTTCCGGGCTTCTGGTCTTAGGGATTTGGGGTTGCCGGGGTTGCGGGCTTCTGGGTTGCGGGTTTCTAAATTGAGGGGTTTATGGTTACTGGGGTTGTAGGTTTCTAGGTTTGTTGTAGGGGTTTAGGGCTTCTGGGTCGTAGGTTTCTGGGTTTGTGTGTTTGGCGTTTGGGATTTAAGGCTTCAGGGGTTCTGGGTGTAGGGGCTTTTCTGGGTGGGTTGAAGGGTTAAGGGTTCTGGCTCTAGTGTTTCTGGGTTGCGGGCCCTGGGTTTGGGGATTTAGCCCTGCTGGGGTTGCGGGCTTTTGCGTTTCGGTTTAAAGCGGCTTTCTAGGCTGAGGGATGCTGAGGGGTTTAAGGGTTTCTGAGTTGCAGGTTTCTGGGTTAGTGGGTTTAGGATTTCGCGGCTGCGGGGTTTTTAGGCTTAGGGGTTTAGGGTTTCTGGTGTTGCGGGCTTCTGGGTTTGGTTGAAGGTTATAGTTTCTGGGTTGCAGGTGACAAGGTTGGAGGAACGGTTACGGGGCGCGTGCCACTGTGGGTTTCGGATTTCGGCACTGCGGGCTTCTAGGTTCAGGATGGTTCAGCGGTTTATGGTTTATGGATTTTGCTAGTATTGCGGGGCTCGAGCCACTATGAAATGACCGACGTGGGTGCACGGGCATGATCCTCGAAACGTCCAGTAATATAACATGACAAACCCTGTGGGGCTATAGAATGGCTCCCTTGGGTCACCCGGACAAAGAGAGATGACAATGCACAGTGCTACAATGCATGCCATCGTTTCAACCTCCCGACCCGCTTCCGGCTATAAAATGACCTGTGGGGGGCACCCCAGACTTTGGCAGGAAAACACAGCGAGTCTATAAAATGACTCGCCGGGGTTGTTGGAAAAGTTACAAACCGAATTTCCCTTATACACTGACCCCCGACTTGCCCTGGAGAGCCATGTTATAGAGAACCAGTGTTGGTCATTTCATAGAGCCATATCCAAGGGGTACGCAGAAACCATGCAGAAACCAAAAAACTTGAAGCGCCTAAACCTAGACCTGGCAGCGTCCAAAAGTTTCGAAAGACGCGGAAACCCAAAAACTGCGGAACGCACAGTCTGCCCGATGCAATCTAGTCGTTCTCCCTGTCGAACTGCCACCTTTGTCAAATTTCTTTCTCGCCTCCGTGCGGGGGCCGTTCCGGCTTCCTCCCGCGGTCCCGGCATTTCGGCCTTTGCCTCTCGCTGATCAGCATCGCTATAGCCTTTGCGGCTTTGCTGCAAGCCCCTTGTCGGCACTGCCAACGTCGATGGAGAACCCCCGCTGCTGAGCGACATTCTCGCAGACTCCTCCCTTGAGCCGCCCCTTGCAAGCCGCATGCCTTAGACACGGTAGTGCGCAGTCGGCCTGGGCGTGGGTCCGCACTGTGACCGCTTAGCTTGGGACGCAAGCAAAAAAGTGTGTGCAAAAAAAACCCGGAACCCCTGAACGCAAAGCCCTTGAACCCCGAAGCCCTAAACCCCTGAAGCTAGAAACTTGAAAGTCAGAAACATTCAGAAACCCTGAATCCAGAACTTTATTTTAAACCCAGAAACCCAGACCCAGAAATCCTAACACGTGAACCATAAATCCGCCGAAACCCAAGAGCCTTAAACAGAAACATCCAGAAACTCTAAAGCCAGAAGCCTTGAACCCAGAAACCATACAACCTTGAATCCAGAAAACCTGAACCCAGAACATTCCAGAAACCTCGAACTCAGAGTCTTTTAGTTTGGAAACCCAGAAACCCAACACCTTGAAGCCAGAAATCCCAACCCAGAAGATGTAAACCCCTGAACGTGGAAACATCCACAACCTAAACCCGGAAGGTTTGAAGCCAGAACCCCTCAACTCAGAACTCCAGCATGACGCAATGCTTTCGCTTGATTCAAGTGCCTCGACGATCCTCGACGCACTTTATGATAGCCTCGTGTTGCGAGTGCTTTGCTTGCATAAAAACGTAGTGAACTGGGACAGGCCGCGGGGGCTCTAACTGTCAGCACCACCGACCGTTCCCACAACACACTGGCCGGCCAATTTGGGGTCCAATAAAGCAAAAACCACAAAAGCCAGCGACCCATCCCCCGGATAACCCTGCGTCTGTGTTCGCATACTGCATTATCTGCAGAATGGAGGGAACATTGGGGGATATCTGAGCGTGAAGTTGTCACACTGCATCTCAGCAGTCAGCTTGTATCACCACATCAAGTTCAACGGTGCGGTGAACGATATATCAAGATCAAACCTTCGTGCACGGCGGTTACATGCGGTTACTAATATTGTTTCCGGTATTAAGCCGAGGTAGGGAAATCACGTAGTTAAGTAGCAGGCGTTTCCAAGTGGGACGGCGCTGGGCCGAGCAGGCTGCTTTTGAGTGCCCTTGCAACTGCCCGCAGCTCTGCCCAGGCCGCATGGAATCCTGATGGAGTGGCTGACCAGATTTTCGCTGCGGCGCAGCATGTGCTGTTTGGAGCCCCCCCTCCAGTCCGAGCTTGGTGCGGGTGGCCCACCCCCAGCGCTGCAAGAG